ATATTTCTGTATTTAGTAATGAATGCAGGATGTTTTTCTTTCAAAATGTCTTTATTTTTCTCCATGAAATTCAGAATCGTTTTGTAAATGTCATAGATTTTTTATATTTTTGTTAAAGTTACATTAAATTTATAAACTGGGTCAGAACTAACATCTTTTATAGTTTGCTTCCAAAAGAAACTTTATTTAAGTATCCATACTTTTTCTCCTCTAAATTAGATTTATTCTTTAGAACTTAACCTTAAATTTTACTATGAGTTTTTACAACTTTTGAAAAAAACAACAACTGATTGCAGCTTTCTTTGGAAGAGTTAACAGGGAAAAATTTCCAAGAATATTGAAAAAAACAACAACATGAGAGAAAACTTCAATATATACATAGTACAAGATAAAAGAAGAACAACCAAATATTATTGCACTAGTACAAGACTACCCCTAGCAAAGAAAGATCCAGCAACAGAGCAGTATGGCAGGACTTAGTATATCATGAGTATATTATGACTCTGTGTGTGTGTGTGTGTGTGTGTGTGTGTGTGTGTGTGTGTTATCCTTTCACTTGTAGCTTTAATATCCTCTCCTTGCCTACACTGAACTTTTCCTTCACAAGCTCCTGTGTCAGTTACCTTCGGTTTGGACTGAGGGAGGCACCAACAGCGGGAGGATGAAAGAAGCCAGGAGCCTCCCCTCAGTAATTCACTCCTGTCCTCAACTCTATTTCATGGACTTCTGCACTTCCTCCGTGTCCTTCGGGGCTCCGACACCGGCTGGGCAGCTTTTCTGTTGCTGGTCTCACTTCTTATGGAGAGCTCTGTCTTAGGGTCCAGTGCCGACATAATGGTTTATTTCCAATTCCTATATTTTCCATTTGTTTCTGCTTTGTAAGTGGAAATAATGTGTACTTAAATGAGATAATATTGACAATTTCACCATCTTTTGTATATAAAATCCTTAAAACAAATTATTTTAAAGGCATTATTATTTACATAAAACTGTGTTATAGAAACAAAAACCAACTTCCTAAATTCAAAGTTTATTATTTTTAAGTTTTATAAGCTTAGGGGGGAAAGTGTATATAATAAAGGGCTACTATTTATATTAAAATGTTCCTGCCAAACAATATAATAACAAACACTACTACAGAAAATAGATTAAAAGGATAAATTAAACATTTAAAAACAATACTAGTAATTATTAAAGCAAAATCAGTTGTTAAAATAATGCACATTTGAATTACAAAAGTCCTCATATATATATCTGGTATTAAAAATTTAAAAAAAACTCCTTGAAATTGGTTAGATATGTAAATATAAGCTCTCATTTGAAGTGTGGAAAATAAATCCATACAATTTTTCTAAAAGGAAATTTGAAAACTGGAAGGTATAGAAAGGTATAGCAGGTATAGAAAACACATATAGTCCTATAAAATAATTTCTGAAAAACATACAAAGGCAAAAAATGCATGTTATATGGTTGGTTAGATTATTGATAAATGTAAGCAACCTAACATCCAAGAGTAGGACATTGATTTTAAGTAAATCATTGTATAAAAGTGCAACTCTATGAAGTGTAAGTTTTTGATATAGAAGAGTATCTACTGGAAAGAAAAATGTTATAAAAACATATATCATTAAAATCTAGAGAAGTACACACCAAAATACAAATAGGTTTTATGAAAGAAAAATAAGATTAGTAAATATTTAATTTTCTATATCTCTTTCTCTTTGGCATATTTTTTTTCTATTTGGTATGGATTATTTTTAAAGAATAAGAATATGTTAAAGCTTAAAGTTCAAAAGCTTACTTTTCACTTTCCAGAATTTAAAAATAACAGGTATAACTGGAGCATCTCTTTGTAAAATGGATGGATAGACCCAAAAATATTTCATCTAACTATAAAGTATCCCAAATTGTGAAGTGTGCTTCTCAGAATACAGGGAGGGAGAACTCTAAACCAACTCTAGGAGCATTGATGTATCCTCAAAAATATTTCAGTTGCTGTCAGAGGGATACATAGTTCTAAAAAGGAAAATAGGCCCTACTTAGTCACTGCTCCAGGTGGAATTTTCCCAAGCTCTTATTTATTAATTTACCCTTATTTCTTTGTATCCTCCAATTTTTGTGCAAGGCCAAAAAAGAAAGATTTGTCTCTCAGTGCATAAAATTAGAGATTTTCGCAATGACCTCAACTTGTATTTCTTAGAAAGATGAAGACTTTTCATCACTTTGGGACTCCCCTCATCTTGCTTTTACCTGGTAAGTTATCCTCTCATGTTTACCTTTTGCTGCTGTTATGGTTGGTAAGGGATGTTAAGAGAACACATTGGACAAGATGTTTCCCATACTGATTTCTCCACACAAATCTCCCGTGGCCTCTCTCCCAATTAACTGCAACTATGTGTATTCATTTGGCATATTTTTCTCCAGCCCATCCCTGTCCTCATCCTTCAGTAAGATGCCTTAGCACTGATAATTTCATGTTCTATCTACTGCCAAACATTTTTCTTTGACCTTTACTCTTTAGGAACTGTTAACTGAGGTGCTTTCCCATACTGACCCTGCAACAAATTAATCACTTTACCCTCACAGCAGAAAGGAAAACAAAGCAGTGATCATACTTCAGAACTGGTATTTAGATTTTTTTTTCTAACTGAGTTTATCGGTACTTTTTAGGTATACAGTACAGTTGCATTCATCATTGGGTACCTTTACATGACAGGTCTTGGTTCTCATTTTTTCCCCTTGTCCCTGCCCTTCCTTCACCCCTCCTCCCTTCCCTATTTACAAATACTTTATTTTTTATTTTTTCTCATTTTTTCTTTTCCCTTATTCCCTTTCCTCTACCCTTCCCACTTTCCCTACACCTTTAGCCCTTTTCTTCCTATTTCACATTGTCAATTATGCACTGCAAAAGAAACCATCAATGGAACTAAGAGAATGGAACTACAATGTGGGAAAAAATTTTACCTGCTCCTCAGACAAAGGACTCTAACCTAGAATATATAAAGAACTCAAAAAAAAACCAACAAAAAAAAATGAGCCCCCCCTCCAAGTACAAAGACCCAGTTCAAAAATGGGCATCCGAAATGAACAGACATTTCTCAGACAAAGAAGTAAAAGCATCAAGTAAATATATGAAAAAGTGTTCCACATCACTGGTCATTTGAGAGATGCAGATGAAAACAACACTGAGATGCCACCTTACCCTACAAAGAATGGCTGCTATCAAGAAATCAAACAATAACAAATGCTGGTGTTGTTTTGGGGAGATAGGAACTCTTCTGTATTGTTGGTGGGAGTGCAGACTGGTGTAACCATTGTGGAAATGAATATGGAGATACTTCAAAGAGCTTGGATTAGAAGTTCCATTTCCCCCAGCCATCCCTCTGCTGGGTATCTTTCCGAAATAATTAAAAGAATCATATCACAGTGATATATGTGCAACTATGTTTATAGTGGCACAGTTTGTAATAGCTAAAACTTGGAAACAGCGCATTTGCCCATCAGTTGGAGACTGGATAAAGATGTGGCTTTTCTATAAAATGGAATTCTACTAAGTCATAAAGAATGAGAAATTAGAGTCATTCATAGGAAAATGGATACATATTGAGGATATATTCCTAAGTGAAATAAATAGGTCACACATGTATAAATACAGAATAGTTTCTCTGGTGTGAAAAACTATAATGGTACATAAGATCCTAATGGTATTTAGAATTTAATTCAATAATTTTTGATACCTGTTACAGTCTGTCTACTAATAATGTAAATTCATTAGAGTCAGTATCTTAGTCACTTTGTCACTGGGACAAAATACAAGGCACCTACAGTTTAGAGGAGAGATTTATTTTGGTTCATGTATACAGCCCATGGTAGGCTTGCTACAAAGCAGTAAGACATGGCAGAGAGGCACGGGCTCAAAAGTTGTTCACATCAGGGTGGCAAGGAAGCAAGAAGGAGTGAAGGGAGGAGCTGGGGAAGGAAACAAATCCCTCCAGGCCACATCCCCAGTGAGTGTTTCATCCAGACCTCACAGCAAGTCAGCTTTCAACCACCACAATCCAATCACCTTCCCCGAACCTCACCTGTGAGCATATCTTGGGATACATCTAGCTACAAACCATAACAGTCAGGGAAACTACTACCTCTTTTATCACTCACATAATTCACCAAGTATGATACTCATCATTGAGGATCAGATTAATGGCTGGTTGAGTCAGGAGCACCGCCCCCATCGCTCCTGAGAAAACTTTGAGGCCTATTTAGGCTGGAATAATCCGCCCCCTCAGGTGTGTAGAGCTCTGACCTTAGACAGATAAACTGTTCCTCTGAAAAGCCTCCAAAGTCCTGACTCCATTTGCCTCAGCCACTAAAGCATACAATCCAAAAACTAACATGTGGCCAATAAGGGTATGCCAAATATCCTGACTCCACCCTGGTTCCACCCCTGCCTTACCCTATCCAATAGCAATCCAATGGCGCCACTCTGGCTCCACCCCCACCTACCCTATATAAACCTGTGCATTTGCTGGCTAAAGCAGAAGTGTTCCAGAAACCTCCCTGGAGTCTGCCTGGTGATTCTGCCCTTGCCCTTTCAGTCCGGCCCCCTGAACCCTGTTCCAGGAGTGGGCTCACAGAGGAAAACAACGATTAGTGCCTGAATGAGGGACTCCCATATACTGGGTAAATACTGAAGTTTCAGGTAAGGATCCCTATTATTGGTAATGTCATGAGGCAAGAACGGCAGATACAGGCTGCCTTAGTGAAGGGTCTTTATGCTGTAAAGGTGTCCTAGGTGTTTCCAGCCCCAAACTCAGGCGAGTGTAGGGCCCCCTGTGCGCTCTAAAGATGGAAGACAAAAACCTCTTAGTAAAGATGGTGGGGGTGGCGGGGTGGGCTCTCTTCTGCTTTCTTCTTCCCCAAAGGTGTGAGCCCCGCCCACTGGTCTCTCACTTCCTGTTGATGACGTGGCCCCGCTAAAACCCCCTCCTCACTGGAATAATGGTCATCCGGAAGAGCCTACCTTTTCCGGTCTAAGATGGCGGCCTCCACCTTGTACGCCGCCACCTCACTTGTCGGACGAGGATAAACAATCCTTTGATAGGGCCTTAGTAGCTTTGGGCTCCTGGGCCTAGGAGCCGCCCAGCCTCCTCCTCCAGCGCAGGTGAGAGCTCCAGAAAAGTTTCAGAGGGAAAGACCTGCAGCTTCAGGGCGCCGGGGCCTGCTGCGAGGAGCTGGGAGGGGAGCCTGGTCGGAGGCCAAGTCTGACAGCTACTCCGTGGCTGAAGGTCCTTTTGTCTTCCCGGACTTCTGATGTTCCAGTCTCCCAGTGCGGATCCTGTTGCCCTGGTGGCTCACAGCACCACTCCCTGGGGCACGTTAGGGCCCAGCGTTGCGAGCGAGCGCAGGGAGGCCAGAGAGATGGGGGCTGCTTGGTCCCCGGCTTGTGGCCCTGGGGGCTGACTGCTCCCCGGGCCTTCTTGCCGAAGAGCCTTTGATCTCTACTTTGTAATCTTATGCTTCACCCCCGCCATAAGAAAGATTTTGAAATTTTCGCCCTTTATTGCTATCATCGTTTCCATGGTGGCAGCTATTTCCGCCACAACAGCGGCAACAGTCACCTCACAAAATCAAATGGCAACAGCAGCAACAGTCAACCAGCCAACAAAAAAAATCACCCAAGTTTTCAAAAAGACCGACCTGCGATTTCAAGATGTCTGCGCAGCTGAACTCAATTTACAAATCCAATTAAACTTGGTTTGGGAGGAATTAATACCCAGGTGTTAGGTGTTGTAACTTTAGATAATGTGTGGGATACCATTTGGTCAAAAATTCAGGCTGGATGGAATAATTTAAGTAGTTGGATACGTGGATTGATATTGGGATCCCCATATATATTAACCTTGTTTGGCCTATTGTTATTGTTCTTTATTTTAAAGATCAGACGTGCCAGTAACAAAATCATAAAAATGTGGTCCTGTTGGCTGAGGCTCTGGTGTCAAAGACAAAAGGGGAAACTGAGGATCAGATTAATGTCTGGCTGAGTCAGGAGCACCACACCCATCTCATGAGAAAACTCCGAGGCTCATGAGTGTTGGAATAATTTACACCCCCTCAGGTGTGTAGAGATCTGACTTTAGACAGATAAACTGTTCCTCTCAAGAACCTCTAAAGTTCTGACTCCATTTGCTTCAGCCCCTAAACCATACAATCCGAAAACTAACATGTGGCCAACAACGATGTGCCAAATATCCCAACTCCACCCTGGCTTCAAACCTGCCTTACCCTATATAAGCCTGTGCATTTGCTGAAGAAAGCAGAAGCATTCCAGAAACCTCCCCGGAGTCTGTGTGGTGATTCTGGGCCTTGCCCTCCCAGTCTGGGCCCCTGAACCTTGTTCTGGGAGGGGGCCTGTGGACGAAAACAACACATTGTATTCAGATACAACATGCTCCCAAGTTGAAACCCAGTGCATCTTTGTGGACGCAAGTTTAGAGAAAGGACAGAAGACACTTTGCCTGTCTTCATGAAATTTATATGTTACTGCACACAGTCTTTTCTCTGCCTACATAGAGTTCACAAGTGTGACATCCTAATATGTTAATTTTATTGGGAAAAGTATACAAATACTTTCAATATAATGTTGGAAACATTTTTTTAAAAGAAAATATCTAGGCTGTAGAAGCCTAGAAAAAAGTCACTTGAATGTGTTTGACGGGCTCAGGCTCTCTGGGAAGGAATAGTTGAGAAGAATCCTGAAAGTGGTTGGGGTGTGTATTAGTCAGCTTTCCCACTTCCGAGATGCAATAGTGGATGCCCAGAATGTAAGAAGAGGCTCTATTCGGTTCATTGGATTCGGTTCATGATTGACCAGCTCCAAGGCAGAATTATCATGGTGGAAGGGGTGTTGAAGAAGAATTCTTTTGCCCATGGTGGTAAGGAGGTAGAGCAAGGTAGCACCAGAGAGAAAGAGGTAAAGGAGCAGATATCCTGAAGTTCCTGCCCCCACAATCCACCAGATACACCAAGAATGTCCCCCTCCAATCCCCTGGGTGGCTTCCAAGCCAGTCAGGTTGACACAAATTTAACCAATACAGGATGTTAGCTAGTTGAAAAAGCAAATGATCAGTGCATTAGCACAAACCCTAGTTGTATGTAGGAGAAAGGTAAGTGGCAGAACTGGCTACTTATTTTTTTTTTTTTTAACCAAGTGCTTCTGCTTAGCGTGCTCAGGAAGCCAGCTGTGGAAAAGAGAGATGTGTGTAGGGCCCTTTGCAACCACCAGCAGGATCACAGGATTGAGAGATGGAGGCTCTGGCAACTTGGAAAGACTAGCTGCACCCTAACAGGCAGGAGAATCCTGGTTCCGAAGCCGGTATACCCCAAGGGTCAAATCTGCTGATTCTCCAAGACAAGCTAGAACCTTAAAGGTTAAATGCGAATGCTTATAATTTTAAAATATTTAGTTCCACTGATACCAGAGCAGTCTTCTAGACAAAAGTTCCTGACAAACTGTAACAGATTGGCAAATATCATCCAAAAGAATAACTTTCCTTGTGTGCTTTGAAGTAGTGTTACAGTGCAGAATTAACAGTTGTTTTGTAAAACAAACTGTTCTTGAGTGTTCCTACTTCAGAATTCTCTGCAATGTTCACAGTCTTTAAAAAGATGTTCCCTTTGTTATACTTTACTCCAAAGGATCTCAAAGAGTGTTGATTCTATAGAGTCACCTGTGAGATTTAAACAGAGTATAGCAGAGCTACTCAAGCTTGTTCAGTCAGAATCTACGGGATTCTGAAGCTGAAATCCATAAGCTCAGAAGAGATCCACATGCATAGCTGAGACTTACTATGTTCATTTTGGGGATGTTTTCTTGTGTATTGCTACAAAAATGAGGGATAAATGTAAAGTTTTTTGTCAAGTTTCTATATAATCTAGTGATAATATCTCTTGTAGTTAAAAGTTTCACACATATAAAAGAAATAGCAATATACAACTATAATTCTTTTTAAAATAGAAAAAGTAATTGACATTAACATATGTGATAAGTAAATTAAATTTAGCATCATATGTTTGTGATATCAAATAGACAGCAGAGAAAGAATAGTGCACACCTGAAATATTAATTACCCTGCCTCTCAAACCCCACTTATAGTATAAACATAGCTATAGATATTTGAGGAAACCTGCCTAAGTATAAGAGATGCTGACATTTTCTAAAAAAAAGTTCCTAGACATGCATAAATTATTGGAAAATAAATTTAAATATTCTAGGTCTAGAGAAATGTTGATAAGAATTGTCTTAAAGTGATAAGTATTTGGCTTGTTGGTTTTTATAATGTCTTTGATGGAGTCATCCTTTCAGAGAGCCTTTGTAGCATTTCTGGAGACTCCTATAATTATCTAACAGTAAGAGAATGTCTGACAAATGATACCATGTGTGCCTGATTACCAGATTATGGTAACTTTGGAAGAACTACCTTTCACTAAATGTTTACAAGTTTGGTTACCATAACAGCATAACATTGGTCCTTTACCTTTAAAGAGATAAAATACTGTATTTTTCTTTATCCTGAAGAAGCTTAAAGCATGGTAGCTGTCCTGTGGCATCTAATTCCAAAGTCAGTGCAAATGTGGACAGATAATAGGAACAAAAGAATACGAGCAACAACCCTGTCAATCACAGGGTTATCTTTCTATTCCTAATTTAGGTCGTTCATCTATTTTGCCCATATTTTTCCAGTTCAGTGGACCTTCCAGTTATGACCAGCCTGACATACAAACAACTTGGGTTATGACCGGAATTTTAGTTTGAACTTAGATCAAAGTCTTTAGTTATGACCCAAATGCTGGCTGCTTGTGCTTCCAGATGGTCTCAGTTACAGATTTAACCTTTAAAGGGTTCTGGACGGAACATTAACTGAGAAATCCTGGGCCACTGTCTCTCTAAGGACTGAGATCTGTCTATATAGAGGAGAAAACTTTGAAGGCTGGGTAGAGGAGCCTGAGCCTTCAGTTGACCGACATGAGTTACAACGTGCCTTTGTGGATGAATTGAGTTTGTAAATCAAAGGTCCACTGCATTGCAAAAAGTTGAAAACTGTAAAACTATTTTACATATTAATAACTATATTTTAATATGATCTTAAATACAAATATTTTGTTAAATTACAAGATATATAAACTTTAATATATATTATGTGTGTGTATGTGAGTGAGCCAGAGAGAAACAAGGTTGGCCTTAGTACTAAGCAAGCATTCAAACAGTTGCCACATGAATTCAGAGCCTATTTGTCTTTCAAAACTGACATACCTCACACTACCTGTGAAGAGGAAAAGTTATAGGTTAATAGGGAAGTATGAATTTAAAGAACAAAGAATCATTTTTAAAAGTAGATGAAGTGAAATAAACCAGACACAGAAAGAAAAATATAGCATGATATCACTTACATACGGAATTTTTAAAAGTTGAGCACATAGAGAATAGAACAGTGGTTATCCAGGGCTGGGTGCTGACACAAATTGGGGACGTGTTGGTCAAGGGGTGTCCAAGTTGCAGTTATGTAGCATGGTCTAGAGATCCTCACCGTTTTTGCATAAGCTCTTCCTCTAGCATTGGTTTTTATGCTTCCCTGGAATAATGGCAACTTGCTTTCCTACTCTCCATTACATCTATCTGAAGTTCACCTTGATTTCTTATCTAGATCTTTTTCTAAATTATTATAATCACAGCCTTGGAAAGCTCTTGCACTGGTCTTCTCTCAAAATTGACTGTCCGAAGCATAATCCTGACTTAATCTAGATAACCTATATCTCTATGCCTGAAGTTAAAAGGTGCTAGCACTGTTTTACACATAGAATGTCTGATTTGACTTTAATGATCAAAAATCTTGATTAGATATTCAAACATGTTCAGGAATCTATCACTTGGTGAGCATGTTAACTTTATCAAGCTCCAAATATTTAGTCACATTAGTTTTCTTTTGCTGCCTTTACCACAAGCATTTTCATTT